CCCTATGTTAATACCAGCATGAAATCCACTGAGCATCCCAAGTTAGAAACTTCTTTTTCCTCTTTTGCAGCCAGTCTCCAAGTTCTCTCCATTCTACCTCCTAAAAAGCTACATAATACATCCTCTCTTTTCTATATTCACATCCAGGACTTAGTCTAGGCCTTCACAGGCAATACTGCCCCTGTGTCTGTGCACTCTAATCTTTACACACCATGGTCTGGACTATAATATGCAAATCTAACCATAACACCCTCCTACTTAAAACACTTTCATTGCTTTCTCCTGCCATTAGAGAATGTCCAAACTTCTTAGCAAAAAACCCAAGCTCCTCCTTATTCTGGCCCCTCCAAAAAATTTTATTATACCTCACTCAGAACTATTCCTTCTGGTCATTTCAGAATGCTGGATCTTTCCTGAATATATTGTGCCACTTCAAGGCTTTGCGAAGTTTCCTGCCATTTGAAATGCCCTCTCGTCCTTTGTCCAATTGGCCAACTTACACCTTACTTCAAGACTCTCCTCAAACGTCACTGCCTCAGTGAAGCCTTCTGCAACCCAATACTCACCCTCTTGCCCCTCCCTCCCAAGGGGCCTCCCACTCCTGTCCACCTCACTGATGAATTAACTGTCCTATGCTGGTGGTACCCTGTACTCCCACACTCTCCTGGGATGAGTTAAGTACATCTGCATCTCCTGCACTAGACTGCAAGCCCCTTGAGGGCAGGGACCCTTATTGGTTCACCTTTGCCTCCTCATACCAAATACAGTAACTGAAACACATCAGGCCTTTAGTAAATATGTGCTGGACAAAAGGCAATAATTATGTGCTGTCACTTACTGAGCACTTTACATGTGTGAAGCACTTAACACCACTATCTCATTGCCACAACATCACCATGAAGGGGGTACCACCCCATTTCACAAGTGAGAAAAAAAGCTTAGAAGGGGGAAGTAATTTTCCCAAAGTCAACAACTGGTAAATTCAGGTCTGCTTTTGACTCCGGAGCTCCTGTTTTTAACCACTCCACTCCTGCATGAAAGAGATTGGATAATGGGTTCCATCTCTATAAAAACAATCCCTCCTAATCACAGGCTCAGGTGCTGTTTTAGTCCCAAATCCATCACCACCACAGTGCTCGTGCACAACAAAACCTTGCTGATGGACTCCTGGTGGCCATCAGGGTTCCTGCCAATAAGGAGAAGAGGCGCCATGTATCACAATTAGCTCCTCGGTCTCTGGCTTAGGATGCACTACCCCAGCTGATTTCCCCTAAGTACCATTAGGTTTCAGATACTGGTGTGCATGCCCTATTCTGGGAACAGAGAAGTGGGTGTAAGAGATCATGATGATGGTAAGTAATGGAATGAACTGTAATGTGTGCTCTGGGAAAGGAGCTGTAATACTTTATAGCTACTCCTCTACAAATACTCTCACCATCTAGAATAAGAGGATCTTTCCGCTCTCAAATCTAGACTCTCAGGGTCAACAATATACCATCATGTATATATTTGATGGCTCATCACTGAACACACATACCTTGTGTTTCCCACTCCACAGTACTGTATTGCATTCAGTTGACTTTTTCAGTCACCCTCTTTTAAATCTATATATTTTCTGAAGAGAGAAAACTGACCTCTTCAATTTTCTCTAGTTCTAATGGGGTTTAAATATCAGTCCCCTATTTCCTACTAATACCTCCACCACCTCTATGACTATCCAGCACGTAACTGAAATCAGTCCTGTGCTTTCCTGATTAACACATTTAACCTTCTCAACTCACAGATGATCAAACTTGCCCAAGGTCACTCAGCTAATAAGAGACAGCCATGCACACTGGGCTCCAGACATGAGGACTACCTTGCCAGTATTCTCTCCCTTGGTACACCTGGATTCTGTGTTGGGAACTCTCTCTCTCCATTCCTCACCCTTTTTCATCTGTCAAATTCCTGTTGGTCCTTTAAGGTTCAACTCAAGGGTCACCTCCTCCATGAATCTTCTCAGGCATTCTCTGCCCTCTCTCCTATCTAGGTGGGGTGGGCTTCATCCCCTCCCTGCTTTCCCTGAAATGTAACTGTCAGGTGACTTCTCTATCTCCCTGAATAGGCTGCAGGCTCCTCCAGAGCAGGGTACGGTCTGGGTCTTGTCTTGGAATTCCCAGTACTAGCACAGTACATGGCCCATGGCATATACACGATAAATGCTTGCCGAATACTGAGTAATGACCCCACTTTGCAATGATGTCATGTGACTTAGCAGGAGAGACTTCTCATCATGAGCAGTGCCATTTTCTCAGCCTTTCATAAACTCATTTCCTCTCACTAGGTGTACATTGGGACAAATAGTTACCATTAGTTGAGGAATTACCACTTCTCAGACTGAGATGTATGCTTCGTGCACGTTATGCTTATCCTGACAACCCTGTCAAGTAGACGTCATCGTTATTTTATGGATGAAGCTCAAAATCAGTTATCCTAAGTAACAGATCTATAGTCACACAGAAGGAAGGCTTTGTTTTAAAGGCATATATAAAATGCCCGATTATGTACAGTCATCCCTATACTGGAGAAATTCATTACTATTTGAAATTACTTACACATACACACACACCACACACACACACACACACAGCATTAATCTGGATGCTGGAGTAGGGAAAGCATGGTTGACCAGTATTTATAGAGGTTCAAGGCAGTCCTACCTTATGCCTTATCCAGGCCAAATCATGCCTGTAGACTTAACTTTCTTATCTGATAGATAGGGATTATGATACCTACTTACTTCATAGGGGGTTGAATACCAAAGAAGCTCATGTTTGCCAAAGTGCTTTGTTAAGGAAGAGGGCGGAGGCCCATCTTAGTGCACCATGCTGGATAGAGCATCGTGCAGTGTTTCTCAAAGAGCAGTGGAAGGACCCTGGGCATCAGAGCCCCACTAAGCGTTAACAGCAGATGGGAGAAGCTAGGCTGGAAATCCACACTTAACAAGCCCCCAAATGATTCTACTGGACACAAAAGTTTGATAAATACCAGGTTAGAACAATGCTCCTCAAACTTTAATGCACACGTGATTCACTTGGGGATCTTCTTAAGACGCAGACTGGAATTCAGTGGGCCTGGGGGAGTGAAGGTGGGTTGAGATTCTGCAGGTCTAACAAGCTCCCAGAGGAAGCCAATGTTGCTGGTCTATGGATCACATTTGAGTGGCAGGGGTTTGGAAAATCTAGCCCCACTGGAACAAATTAGCTTTGCTTTGTTCAGGACTACAGACTGCATTCTCCAACTTCAGGGAATATTCCACAAAGCCCAAGCTCTCAGTAATGCGTCAAAATCTCTTGAACTACTCAAAACCAAATTGGAACACATTACCTATCACAGGGAAAAGTAGTAGCATCCTTTTCAGATAGAGATAGCACATATGTCTAGCATGTGAAAGAATAATTTACTGCTACTACTTGAGTCCTATTTACTGTGCAAAGAGGTTTTTTTTTTAAAGATTTTATTTTTTTCCTTTTTCTCCCCAAAGCCCCCCAGTACATAGTTGTATATTCTTCGTTGTGGGTCCTTCTAGTTGTGGCATGTGGGACACTGCCTCAGAGTGGTTCGATGAGCAGTGTCATGTCCGCACCCAGGATTCGAACCAAAGAAACACTGGGCCGCCTGCAGCGGAGCGCGCGAACTTAACCACTTGGCCACGGGGCCAGCCCCGCAAAGAGTTTTATATGTATTATCTCTAAGCCCCACCACAACCCCACAAGGTGGATATTCTTGCTCTATAGATAAGGAAATGAGGACAGAGAGAGCATAAGTAACTTTCTGAAGTTCACATGGCTATTTAGGTGTTGCAGCTGGGGTTCTAATCCTGCTCCACTGGGATCTAAAGCCTGTGTGCCCTCTGCACATCTTCCATGGTGCCAGATATGATTGCGGTAAAAAACATGACAGCTTAGGGAAATAAAATGGGGAAAAACGTTTCTCTTGTACCAGTCATTGAGTTTAAGGCTCTGCTGAGGCAGATTCTGGATGGGCGTGAGCACGCATATAAGGTTAATTAATTAGCAATCTGTGTAGCCTCTTGGACAAAAACATGCAGCTAGCATCCTTGCCCATGGTTCCCATAAATCTGATAATGGAGATGGAATTAAAAGTGACCAGTGCACTGATCGTAACTGTTGCCACCTACTCTCAGGCTTCTAGCTGTGGGGTCCACCAATGAAGAGGAAAAATGCTTCCTGATCCCTGTGGCCTCTCTACTTCCTCGCTTTCTCCTGTATGAGGTTTCTGTAACCTTATCGTTCACGCCACACAGGTTTACTCCACCACGTCATTTCACAATTGCCACACCTCCCTGCCTCTGATAAAACTGCCTACACCTGAAAAACTGGACTGTTTAGTCAAATATATTGAAAATGCAGCAATTTTGAAGGTTTTCTTTTGAGTAACAAAATTTTCTGTATTTTTCATAAGGTTGACATGGAGAGAAATGCAAGGCAATAAAGACACTTAGAGAAAGCAGTCAGACAGACACTGGAATGTACCAAATGGGGGAAAGACAGCTATAAAATTAACTGCCCAGGTATCTACCATCCAGTGTCTTTAGCATTTAATGACCCATGGGTGGAGTATCCATGGTCAGTTTCTTTAACTTCACGTCTCTCCACTATCATAATTAATACTCAATAGCTTAACTGTCGTTTTCTAAAGATCCATCTTTAATAACTACAACTATTTACCTATCTAATGCAAAGAGATACAATTAGAGAGCGCCATCTCCTGCAATTAAATATAAACACAGCAGGGGCTGGCCCAGTGGCAGTAGCGCTTAAGTTCCCCCGTTCCACTTTGGTGGCCCGGGGTTCGCAGGTTTGGATGCTGGGTGCGGACCTAGCACTGCTCCTCAAGCCATGCTGTGGAGGCGTCCCACATAAAATAGAGGAAGATCGGCACAGATGTTAGCTCAGCGACAATCTTCCTCAAGCAAAAAGAGGAAGATTGGCAACAGATGCTAGCTCAGAGCCACTCTTCCTCCCTCTCTCTCTCTCTCTCTCTCTCTCTCTCACACACACACATAATATAAACATGGTGGTTAAAAACTAAACAGTGATATTTGAACTATTAAGGATTATAAACGGATTTTGCCCCTATGGTATTCTCCACACATGATGTTTCAAAAATAAAGACTGAAGCCTAGAAAGAAACTGGTTTCAAAACCCACTTAAAAGTATTTTTAGAATTTGTGTGTGTTTTAAATACAAGGTAGGAAACTGAGTCTGGAACGCTGACTTCAAACAAATAAGCATTTTCTATTTCACTCCCCAAGCCCCAGGAACAGTTCAGATCTCAGAAAACCTAAACTAAAGGTCCACAGAAACCAATTAGAGATTTTTCTGGAGAGACTTTACTGAAATGTTTGCACAAGAACATGTTTGCAATGAGTCATAATTTATAGGACCTTAACGGCCAATGCCTTATGTGCCTTTCTTCCTACCTTCAATATCATTCTCAAGCCAGCTGTTGATATATTTCCAAGGGCCTGATAATTTTTATAAAGTTACCAGATCTTAATTACCAAGGCTGCCAGCCAGCACCCCTTCTCATACTGATTTTTTATGCTATCCAAAGACAAGAGAACCTGATTCCCTTTCTAAACTATAACTCTCCCCAACCAGGCAGTTAATGGCTTTCGCCAGCGAAAGGGCGCAGTACTTTTAAGACCCCCAAAGAGACGCTGAGGGCCCTCAGGGGTTCTCCAAGTAAAAAGGCAGTGGAGGTTAACCAGGAGCCGCTCTGGGCAAAGGCAGACATCATAACAGGATATGTCCGTTTCTAAAGGAAGCAAGAGCTGCAATAGCCCGGGGGCAGGAAAGGCGGAGCCAGCAGCACCCAAAGGAAACGGGCGTACCAGGGTTTGCAGGCACCTGGCCTGCTTAGGGACTCTTGCTCTAGTCAGGTCCGAGGCTGGTGAGCAGGTGTCCGCGAGAGACCAAGCTCAGGCCTCCTGGCAGTAGTGGTTATCAAGACGTACCCATCTGCTCCCTGCCACCTCCGCCAAAGATGGGCAATGGGGAGAAGAGGAAAAGCCAACACCAGGCGCCTCGGCAGGTGAACTTGTCAACAAGTCAGCCCTGGACGCAGGTCCCTGCCCAGAAGGGACCTCGTGGTCCTGGGGCTGGAGCCGCCGAGAGGGCGAGGCACGGAGTGGGTGCGGTGGGCTGGCGTGCGCGGGAGTGCCGCCGCGCTGGGGCTGGAGATGGGGCCGGAGCCGGGATCGCGTCCCTCCCGCTCCCCCGGGACTGACGCACGCTCTCATGGCGCGCGCATCCTCCAGACCTTCCCAGGCCCGAGGGAGGAGGCGGGGGAGGGGAAGGGGCTGTCGCGGTTCCCACACGGGGATCAGCGGCAGGAGGAGGCTACCCGCCTGTCACCCGCCGCCCGCGGAGGGCAGAGTTGGCAGCCCCAGGCCGGCGCCCCCGACCGCCCCGGCTGCCGGGCGTCTCCCGCTGCAGCCTGCAGCCCTCCCGGCGCGCTCCCGCCCCGGCCCCGGCCCCGGAGGGCAGGTACCTCGGAGCCCTGGCCCCTAGGAGCCTCCCGGCCGCGGTCGGAGAGTCCCTCCAGCTCCCTCATCCGACGTCAGCGTCAGCAGAAGGCGAGGGAAGGGGGCGGGGGAGCACAGGAACCGGCCCTTCCTGCGGCGGCCGCAGCCAGCCGGAATAGCAGCCGGCGGAGCCCGTGCGCGCCGCAGCGCAGCGCAGCGGCTGGGGGGAGCGGGCGCCCTCGGCTCCGCCAGCACCCGCCGCCGGGGCCCCGCCGCCGCCTCCCCTCCACCTCTCCCCTCCGGAGACGCCTGGCCGGGCGACCCCTCCCAGCAGGACCCCAGGACCCGGAGGAGGAAGGGGGCGACAGCCTCACCTTGTTTGGGGCGAGTCTGGGATGGAGGGAGTGAATCTCTCTCTGTCTACTCCCTGGGGTCTTTCCTGGACCCCCATCTCCTGGGGTATCCCCCGCTCGGATCTGCCGCCCAGAGTGACCCCACCCTGCTCTCCCGCAGGTGTTCCACGTGTCCATAGCATTTGCGTCACAATGACCTGGCCGACAGGTGGGAGCCGCGGCGAACGCCCCAGGGTTCGCTCTGTGCTGCGCAGCGTGCGTGCTGCTTGCTTCCGCTGTAGATTTCTGTGGCTTTAGGGGACAGGAGACTTCATGACTTCGATGCCAAGAAAAGTTAGAGAGGCCTGTACCTGGAAATCAAGTTTGAGCTTAAAAGAAAAAGGCTATATATTTCATTCCCATATATTCATATATGTTTTATACTTAAGTTATTGACTTACAGTAATTTCATCTTCTCTTATCTTTGTCACCGGGAAAGAACAAAACTCCTGTTTCTGGAGTACGCTGCAATGATCACCAGAAGAAAAAGTAATGGAATAGGTGCTTCCTAAAATTGTCTCTGCTAAAAGCAATCCCAGTGTGCTATGACTCAGTTCCTGGTTATATGTTTCTAAATAAGTTCGTTGAATAGTCACTGGTTGAAATAATTTAACAGAGTGGAATGAAAAATAGTTACTGACTAATGATGCAAACAAATCTGAAATCCACAGCTAACGTGAATGGGCTGCTCCCTACTGTGCCAGACACGCTGTTTGCTTTACATTTAATCCTTACAGCAACTCAGTTCTGGAGGTAAAGTGATCACCCCTATTTTACAGATGAAGATGCTGCCCAGAGTCCCATAAAGGCATTCAGCTAATAGGATATTGAGCAGGGTTTTGAATCCAGGGTTGACCGAACCAAGAGATTTGGCTTAATCTCAACATTAAAAGGTGCCTGGCCAAGATGGGTAGAGAAAAAGTACAGGAGAAGATGTTGACATTTTAATAGAAAGCTAGTAAGACGACACAGCTCCAGAAATTTATATAACCTTAAATGTTGACATTATTCTTTGGATATATTCTTTGGGGATTCTGTTTGTCATAGATAGATTTGAACTTGTCCCAGTATGACACAAAATATAGAGTTGAGTAAACATTGAGTCCTTAGTAAATGTTTATAAATAAATAATGAATATGGTCTACAAAATAGCAAATTGTCACAAAGCTGAGATTCAGGAGAAACTTTGGGAGAGAAAAACATTGTTCCCATATACTTGGTTTTATTAGAAGCATTCAGACTAACTTGTTAACAACACACCCAAATGATTTTGCTGTTTGTAAGAAAGAAAAAATGAAAAAAAACAAAACCCTTTGAAATGAGAAACAAAGACTTCTTTGCAAAAGAAACACAATTAAGATATTTTGTTTTAAAATATTTGATTCCAAAAACCATTAACTTATGTGTAAAAACCTATCAGGAGTTAAAAAGAAAGAGATTATTATTTTTAACAGAATGAAGTGCTATTTCTAACATAGTAGGTATAGGTGCTCCCTAAACGTTGGCTGAATGTATCAATCAGTTGATTGAAGTGTTGAGAGAGAAATAGATCACAAAATTTCCTGACTCTGTAATCTTCTCTTTTCCACCATTCATGATTTACTAGTTCCGTGAATACGAGTAGAAACCCTATTTATCAAAGCCTGGCTTTGTGGCAGATACTTGCATTTGTTACAAGAGAGCCATCGGAATGGCAGGTTGCTTGTGTGTTCAAAGTATCCCCTGAAAATGCAGGTAATTGGAACACAAGCACTGGGGGAAGTGAGCAAGAAAGCTGATTTATGTAACTAATTACCAAGCTTTCCTTTTACCTTTCCAAAGGCCAAGGTGATAAGCTGGGCATGAGTCTAAGGACCTATGATGGAGGCTAAAAGTGGCTTCCAAGACAACGTTTAAAAGCGAAAGGATGTGTGATACAAGCACTATCCAGTCAACATGGACTGAAATTCCTCGGGCTCCCAGAGAGTTTAAGATAAAGCTATAAATGACTTTCATCACTATTAATATTGTCCTAATATTTAGGATAACATTTGAGAAGGAAATAAACTTATGCTCATTCTACATTGCCACAATGAGTGCTTTTCCTTCCTATTTTAAAAGTTGCTCCATCTATAACACTTCCATTTCTTTCTGGATATCAAGTTGTTGTCTCAGTCTTACAGAGCACCCACCAGGTGCTAGTTGGGCACCTGAAACCGTTTCTAAGAAAAGAATGGCTATTGAATGATGGAATCTGAAATAAAGAAAGAATGTGCATTTTCCAGAGTGCAACAAAATGACAAAGGAACTTTACAACAGAAAAAATCCTTACATACTCATTTGATGAGCTTTTTGCTTTGAGGATTTCCCAGGTTCAAGATATGCTAATAGGACCACATGATTTAGGAATTGTGTTAGGCTGCCATTAACAGAGACCCAGAATAACAGTGGATTAAGTGAGATAAAGGTTTATTTTCTCTCACATTAATGAAATTGGAAAGTAGGCAATCTAGAGCTGGCATGACCTCCACTAGGTCATCAGGAGGTTGCCTCTCTCCTTCTATTCTACCATTCTCAGCAAAGCAATATTGCTCAAAGGTAAATCCAGGTGAGGATAAGGAGAAATAGGAACCATCATACATTGCTGGTGGGAATGTAAAAGGATGCAGCCACTTTGGAAAATGGTCTGGCAGTTCCTCAAATGATTATACATAGAGTTACCATATAACTCAGCAATTGTACTCCTAGGTATATATCCAAGAGAAATGAAAACCTATGTCCACACAAAAGCTTACACACGAATGTCCATAGCAGCATTATTGAAAGTAGTCAAAATGTAGAAACAATCCAACTGTCTATTGGTGGATGAATGAATAAACAAAACAAAATGTAGTATATCCATGTAATAGACTATCACTGGGCCATGAAAAGGGGTGAAATACTGATACATGCTGAAACTCGGATGAACCTCGAAAACATTATGCTAAGTGAAAGACACTTACCACAAAAGTCCATATGTTATATGATTCCATCTTTATAAAAGTGTAAGATGGGAAATCTATAGAGACCGAAAATAGGCTAATGATTGCTTAGGCCTGAAGAGAAAAAAATGTATATATGTGGATATACATATACAAAGTATTCACGTACATACAATAGATTTTAGCGGACCATTGATATATATTTTTAATATATATTTTTCATGTTCTGATGCTCCCTATGCTCTCAGCCAACATGAGCAAGTGAAGCAGAATGCCCTTCTTCCTCTTGGTGAATGGGCACCATAGGTGTACTCTACCATCCATCCAGACAGTTTCCTACAGCTCTGAGATCATTTTGTTTTCTGACTCATCTTTGACAGCATCATATGTACTCATGGTACCTGTCCTAGTATAAGATGCTAAGATAGAGTGTGAGCTATTATTGTTAATCAATGTATGTGATAAGACCTATACATATAGATCTCTCCAAAGCTCAGCTCATTAGTGAGAAAAAAAATCACTTTTCCTTCAGAGTTTCTGGGAGATTAAAATTAGATAATCTATAAGAATAAACTTTGAAAAAAATGTTTTAAAAATTCTTATTAAATTTATTGTCTGATTTTTACTGGTGATAGAAATTTGAGGAAAGGTTAAGCTAAGTTTTATTGGCAAAAATAAAGTGATTTATTTCCTATATTGTGTGATACTTAAAGAGGAATTAGATGTAACATCCTCAAGAACATGGACTAAGCGTCTTGACCAATTTTGGTTTAATACTTGTGATCAGTTGTGCTCTCTACATAGCAAAACAAAGCTTCTGTTACACTCTTGGCAGTGGTAGCTATATCTTTAAGCAAATTTGTGTGCGCATGTGGAAATAGAACAAATGTTTAATTAATAGCATTAACTTTTGTTAATTAAAATTAACTTCCTTTCCCATAAAATTAAGGCTACAATAAAGAGAGGAGGCTTATTTTACATTAAGGAGAAAGGTGATTATTTTCATTGCCACACCAGCTTAGATTTCTGCATAAATAACGAAGCTCCCCAACCCTTCACCCCCAGTATCATCCACTGGAACTTCTGCAAGAAAAATGCTGGTGGTAGCATCAAAAAGGGCCATCTTACTCCCTGCAGGCAGAGAATTTTGTCTGTCATGTGCCATCTAGCGTAATCCTGGGCAAACCTTAGCCCAGAGTTCGAGCTATGTTCTGG